ACTAAGAACCACCTGAGCTCACCTGAGAACCACTTGAGAACCACCTGATCATCACCTGAGCATCACCCGAGCATTACCTGAGAACCACATGAGCATCACCTGAGCATCACCTGAGCACCACCTGATCACCACCTGAGCACCACCTGAGCACCACCTGAGCACCACCTGATCACCACCTGATCACCACTTGAGCACCACCTGAGCATCACCTGAGCATTACCTGAGCCAACCTGAGAACCACCTGAGCATAACCTGAACGTTACCTGAGCCAACCTGAGAACCACCAGAGAACCACCTGAACGTTACCTGAGCCAACCTGAGAACACCCTGAGAACCACCTGAGAACCACCTGAGATCACCTGAGAACCACCTGAGCATCACCTCAGCTCACCTGAGAACCACCTGAACTTACCTGAGCCAACCTGAGAACACCCTGAGAACCACCTGAGAACCACCTGAGCATCACCTCAGCTCACCTGAGAACCACCTGAGCATCATCTGAGCATCTCCTGAGCATTACCTGAGCCAACCTGAGAACCACCCGAGCATTACCTGAGAACCACCTGAGAACCAACTAAGAACCACCTGAGCTCACCTGAGAACCACTTGAGCACCACCTGAGCATCACCTGAGCATTACCTGAGCCAACCTGAGAACCACCTGAGCTCACCTGAGAACCACCTGAGCCAACCTGAGCACCACCTGAGCACCATCTGAGCATCACCTAAGAACCACCTGAGCATGACCTGAGAACCACCTGAGCCCCACCTGAGAACCACCTGATCATCACCTGAGCATCACCCGAGCATTACCTGAGAACCACCTGAGCATCACCTGAATGTTACCTGAGCACCACCGGAGAACCACCTGAGCACCACCTGAGAACAACCTGAGCATCACCTGAGCACCAACTGAGCCCCACCTGAGCCCACCTGAGCACCACCTGAGCACCACCTGAGCATCACCTGAGCCAACCTGAGAACCACCTGAGCATTATCTGAGCACCACCTGAGAACCACCTGAGCACCACCTGAGCACCACCTGAGCCCCACCTGAGAACCACCTGAGTCAACCTGAGCACCACCTGAGCTCACCTGAGAACCACCTGAGCACCACCTGAGAACCACCTGAGAATCACCTGAGAACCAACTGAGCTCCAACTGAGCACCACCTGAGAACCACCGGAGAACCACCTGAGCATCACCTGAGCACCACCTGAGCATCACCTGAGCATCACCTGAGCCAACCTGAGAACCACCTGAGCATTATCTGAGCTCACCTGAGAACCACCTGAGCATCACCTGAGAACAACCTGAGCATCACCTGAGCACCACCTGAGCCCCACCTGAACACCACCTGAGCACCACCTGAGCATTACCTGAGCATCACCTGAGCCAACCTGAGAACCACCTGAGAACCACCTGAGCATTATCTGAGCTCACCTGAGAACCACCTGAGCACCACCTGAGCACCACCTGAGCATCACCTGAGCCCCACCTGAGAACCACCTAAGGCCAACCAGAGCACCACCTGAGCACCACCTGAGCACCACCTGAGCACCACCTGAGCCCCACCTGAGAACCACCTGAGTCAACCTGAGCACCACCTGAGCTCACCTGAGAACCACCTGAACACCACCTGAGAACCACCTGAGAACCACCTGAGATCACCTGAGAACCACCTGAGCACCACCTGAGCATCACCTCAGCTCACCTGAGAACCACCTTAGCATCACCTGAGCATCTCCTGAGCATTACCTGAGCCAACCTGAGAACCACCTGAGAATTACCTGAGAACCAACTGAGAACCAACTAAGAACCACCTGAGCTCACCTGAGAACCACTTGAGAACCACCGGATCATCACCTGAGCATCACCCGAGCATTACCTGAGAACCAACTGAGAACCAACTAAGAACCACCTGAGCTCACCTGAGAACCACTTGAGCACCACCTGAGCATCACCTGAGCATTACCTGAGCCAACCTGAGAACCACCTGAGCTCACCTGAGAACCACCTGAGCCAACCTGAGCACCACCTGAGCACCATCTGAGCATCACCTAAGAACCACCTGAGCATGACCTGAGAACCACCTGAGCCCCACCTGAGAACCACCTGATCATCACCTGAGCATCACCCGAGCATTACCTGAGAACCACCTGAGCATCACCTGAATGTTACCTGAGCACCACCGGAGAACCACCTGAGCACCACCTGAGAACAACCTGAGCATCACCTGAGCACCAACTGAGCCCCACCTGAGAACCACCTGAGCATCACCTGAGCACCACCTGAGCATCACCTGAACGTTACCTGAGCCAACCTGAGAACCACCAGAGAACCACCTGAACGTTACCTGAGCCAACCTGAGAACACCCTGAGAACCACCTGAGAACCACCTGAGAACCACCTGAGCACCACCTGAGCATCACCTCAGCTCACCTGAGAACCACCTGAGCATCACCTGAGCATCTCCTGAGCATTACCTGAGCCAACCTGAGAACCACCTGAGAATTACCTGAGAACCAACTAAGAACCACCTGAGCTCACCTGAGAACCACTTGAGAACCACCTGATCATCACCTGAGCATCACCCGAGCATTACCTGAGAACCACATGAGCATCACCTGAGCATCACCTGAGCACCACCTGATCACCACCTGAGCACCACCTGAGCACCACCTGAGCACCACCTGATCACCACTTGAGCACCACCTGAGCATCACCTGAGCATTACCTGAGCCAACCTGAGAACCACCTGAGCATAACCTGAACGTTACCTGAGCCAACCTGAGAACCACCAGAGAACCACCTGAACGTTACCTGAGCCAACCTGAGAACACCCTGAGAACCACCTGAGAACCACCTGAGATCACCTGAGAACCACCTGAGCATCACCTCAGCTCACCTGAGAACCACCTGAACGTTACCTGAGCCAACCTGAGAACACCCTGAGAACCACCTGAGAACCACCTGAGCATCACCTCAGCTCACCTGAGAACCACCTGAGCATCATCTGAGCATCTCCTGAGCATTACCTGAGCCAACCTGAGAACCACCCGAGCATTACCTGAGAACCACCTGAGAACCAACTAAGAACCACCTGAGCTCACCTGAGAACCACTTGAGCACCACCTGAGCATCACCTGAGCATTACCTGAGCCAACCTGAGAACCACCTGAGCTCACCTGAGAACCACCTGAGCCAACCTGAGCACCACCTGAGCACATCTGAGCATCACCTAAGAACCACCTGAGCATGACCTGAGAACCACCTGAGCCCCACCTGAGAACCACCTGATCATCACCTGAGCATCACCCGAGCATTACCTGAGAACCACCTGAGCATCACCTGAATGTTACCTGAGCACCACCGGAGAACCACCTGAGCACCACCTGAGAACAACCTGAGCATCACCTGAGCACCAACTGAGCCCCACCTGAGCCCCACCTGAGCACCACCTGAGCACCACCTGAGCATCACCTGAGCCAACCTGAGAACCACCTGAGCATTATCTGAGCACCACCTGAGAACCACCTGAGCACCACCTGAGCACCACCTGAGCCCCACCTGAGAACCACCTGAGTCAACCTGAGCACCACCTGAGCTCACCTGAGAACCACCTGAGCACCACCTGAGAACCACCTGAGAATCACCTGAGAACCAACTGAGCTCCAACTGAGCACCACCTGAGAACCACCGGAGAACCACCTGAGCATCACCTGAGCACCACCTGAGCATCACCTGAGCATCACCTGAGCCAACCTGAGAACCACCTGAGCATTATCTGAGCTCACCTGAGAACCACCTGAGCATCACCTGAGAACAACCTGAGCATCACCTGAGCACCACCTGAGCCCCACCTGAACACCACCTGAGCACCACCTGAGCATTACCTGAGCATCACCTGAGCCAACCTGAGAACCACCTGAGAACCACCTGAGCATTATCTGAGCTCACCTGAGAACCAC